GCGGGATGCCACAACCAAATGTATCAAGTGGCATGGGCAGTGGTAAGAACTAATAATAAGGACATTTGGTACTGATTTATCGACTTGTTGAAGTCATACCTGAATACGAGTAATGGTAATCATAGGACTTTGATAAGTGACATCAAAAGATATGCAATACTTCATTATCACTCATCTTGAAATTTTTTGCCACAATGTATACAATGCTCATTGGTATTAATATTTTGCCTTTTTGTTGTTGTTGTTGTATTTGTCAAGGTCTCATCCCTTCAATAGTTGAACCTTGCCAAATGTAGAACACATGGTGTGTGCAAGGCACATATATTCCAATTGGGGTGAAAACTATAAAAGAAACCAGTTGATGAGACAAATTTGGAAATGTGCCAAGAGTACTAATATGACAACCTTGAGATGCATAGACAGAAGTTGAGGAAATGAGTTCACAAGGTCATGATGATCTATTTCATACTGAGTCAAAACACTAGGGCAAAGCCGTCTTTGACACCAACATAAATCATAAATGTAATCTCGTTGATTATAATTTCACTAAAGCTTTTTACGGTAGGTGGACATTGTGAGTATTTTGGAAGATATTAAAATCATCATTATGAATAGAATGCATAGCCACAAAGATGCATGTGGTAGGTGGATAAGAAATTATGGTCTAAGAATTGTGCATAAGATACATCAGAATACAACTGTTAGTAGGTATTGCCATTTGATATGGAATAGAGATCCAAGATATGAGATCATTTGCAATTGACGGTACGGAATAATTTTAGATAGGCAAATTTCTTAAATGGTAATTTAGTTGAAGTTTTCGAGACTTTGATGTGGATCTAGTTCGTCACACTCCATCTTATATATCAAAATGTGTATTGAGCTCAAATGGATTCATCATCAAAGTAGCTATGTATATCTGAATACCTAGACAGCCCACGTATTTCTTTGTCGCACGGATTGGGGAACGGAGATGGCTACTTTCTTTGCGTGGCCAAACTCCAAGATAAGAATACTGTATGTATTCCAATATAAAAGGTGTAATTTCAGAATGTATTTGGTGCGGTCTCCATATATTTTTTTATGGTTGTGATTATGACAAGACAATAATGTATATGAATAAAGAACGTAGGTGGGTCAATCACACCGTGTCCCCTTATATCAAACTGCAAATTGAACTGAATTCAATTTCAAATGTCAAGGATGGAGAAAGAAATGGACCCCATCTTTACCCTTTTATTCGTCGGATGGCTTGAACCGAGTGGAATTGGAAAATTTTGCAAGATACTCGCTCTCTCTCTCTCTCTCTCTCTCTCTCTCTCTCTCTCTCTCTCTCTCTCTCAACTAACATCATGGTACAATGCCCCTCTGACCTGGTAAACAAATACCCATATTAAACAAAGCTAAGAAAAAGAAGAACCAAACCAAAGAGCTAGAGAAAGCCCCACACGTTGTTCCAATCCACATCAAGAATTACATTTCAATCGTCCAATTTACTTGAAATCATTACCTTCCCAAGAATAAGCTAAAACGTTAACCGCCCCAAAAGTGATCTCTCTTCTTGGGTTCACACCACCACGAGAAACTCCATGCTTTTCCCTACCCACGAAAAGGGATTCATGGTCAAGAAGGACCACATTCTGAACTCTTAGTTTCTAATTAAACAATAGTCGTGTTAATGTATTACGTATCCCAAATCGCTTATCTATGGGTTTTATATGCTTTTTTATACACGCGTGGTCTCTTTCGACATATGAGTTTAAGTTTATTGGACATTGTACTATGATATCGAAGTCAGATTTTGTCCTAGTTTATTTTGCGTGTGCAACCCTCTTTCGTCCTAACAAATCGAAAGATCATACTTCCTTCGACCAACTTTTGTAACTAATAACTTGAGCGGCTTAATTTCATTAGGCAAATTAATTTTCATCCCCTCGTTAGGCATAAGAAGATATTCCCCTACCACATGTCTTTATTTGTGCGCTTTCATAGGTTTAAATGTGCAATATAATATTATGGCTAATCCGGTGAAAGATTAAGATTTTGTATCATCCCTGCAAATTATTTTAAAAGTTTAAATTGTCAAATGAAGATGTGATTAAATATTTAAATATTTTAACATTTTTCTGTCACCATTTCAAAATGTCGACACGGTTAATAAAATAAGGACAATGGAAAGTCTTTTAGCCTAAAAAAAAAAAGGACGATGGAAAGTCGGGTGCATGAGTCCGCCCATTTTCACTCTTGGGGGAACAATTTTTTAAACGAATATGATTGATTGCACACCATGATTTCAAGTACATCAAGGTACGTCCTGTTCTGTGGATTAAGACGAGGACAAATCAATTCTGTCGTTGCACGCGACAAGTAGAGAACTTAAAGGGTGCGAAAAGGAGAAAATACTACCCCTATTATTATTTTATTAAATTGTATGCTATCTCCAATTGTTTTTGTTTTTGTCACTGTTGTGTAGGTGATAACAATGAAATAAGTCTTGAAAATAGCTTAGGCACTTTACGTAGAAAATATATCTTGAGTTTGAACCAATAAATAAAGTACGATCCATTTCCTAATTTGAGTGATTTTCCGGTTTGAGTAGGTTTGTAAATAGGGTATTCTATTTTAGATGCAAATGTCATATGTATATAAGATATGAGTGTTGGTTTGTTGCCCATGTTAGAGCAGAAGAGCTTTTGGCTGCAATGATCAATTATTACATCACGAAGAAATTGAAAGCGTTTTGGAGCCAATAAATCTTGTAGTGGAATTTGTGAATCTCTACGTATCTTGTAGTGGAATTTGTGAATTTATAAGGGTTAGATATTGTATAGTTTATTGGGTGGAACTGAGGGTTTAAAAACATCGAGAGTGTTTTGGCGAATCAAGTTTGGTTGTAATTTCCATCGTATCGCTGGATCATGGTGGTATCCTGTACTTGCTCTCTCCGTGAAATAGGTATCGAACCACGTAAATCCAATGTTCGATTTATTTCCTTATCCTGTTCATCATTGTGTTCGATTGCTTGTTTTTCGTCACATGGTAAAAGAATTCGCAAAAAACAAAAGGAAATTAGAACACAGGAAGAGGGTGGCTGTGGCCATTTATGTTGTCTCAAAAAGGGAGAAAGTGAACGAAACGTGATGCCACTTGGTGTATACTAAAATCACCAATTACTTTCATTCCAAACCTCCACGAGACCGGGCATATCATATTCCAATATTAAGCAGATATTCATCCACGTGGTTGCATGTGATGGAAATGCTGCTAATACGACAAAACTAAGGTTATTGTCTATAGTGATTCTCGCAGTAATAAAGACCTAACTTGCATAAATCCTACTGCACTTTTTACTAACGTATGTAGAATGGAAGGAGATTCGTCTCATTGATTGCTGCCCTTTGCTAGATGCATTGCACGGGACATAAAAAAGCAGGAGATATATATTAATAGAAATCGTTTTGTTTGATGAGCATACCCATCAAGAGATATTGGTTTGAATTTCTAATTCCCTTTTCTTATTAGGGTTCGCATGTCATCGTGGATTAGATCTTGAGCTCATCTGAGAACAGTGGGATTTCGTTGAGCTATTTTATGTGAGTTTTCAGCTTGATGTATGCATCTATTAATGTTCCACTTACATTAACTTTTTCTGCGACAACATCAAACTCTCGAGAAAAACGGTGTCTTGACAATTACACAAACACACTTTCATCTTTAGCTTTACCAGTTTGTGGGATTGGAGTCATACATATGTTTCAGTGCCAAATTGGAATGAACAATGCTTTGCTGTCCTCATTTCCATTACTCGATAAGTGGGCATGTAAAAACTAAAGCATGACGTATTAAACCCTCATCGACCCACGAATTCCTTTGGTAAAGACAAGCTGTCCGTGATATGCTTAATAAGATATGCATGGAGGATGGTGACGAATGGGACGAAGTCCACAAGTTAAATAATCGTTATTAAAGCATATGTTTCTTGGCTAGATTCTCGATGGCAGAACTGTCATTAGTGAGCTGGAGAAATATAATTAGGCATTTTTCTTACCAAAAAAAAAAAAAAACGTAGAAGCGTGCAGCTCTTGTCTTGGTGTATTTTGCTGATTAAAAATAGGGATAATAACAAAAATAATCCCGAATTTTGGCCAAATGTGTAATGTGATCTTTGAATTTTTAATTTGTTTAATGTAGTCCCCGAACTTTAGCCTAATGTTGAATATGATCCTGGAACTTTTAATTTGTTCCATGTGATCTCTGGACTTTTGGTAAATATTCAATGCAGTCCTCGAAGGACTCCATTGAAGATTTACATATTGTTTAAGGCCTAAATTGAACATGACATCGAACAAATTAAAAGTTCATGAATCACATTGCATATTGAGTTAAAGTTCAGGAGTGTCGTTTTCCTAAAATACTAAAACTCAGCCAAATGGAGATATATTAGGGGGTTCTTGATGTGGCTCGACTTCGGGGCATCACATGGGGACGTGCGAGCGAGTGGGTTCTATGGATCTGTCGACTTCAACGTAAGCGAGGGTTCGAACAGATGACGGCAGCGGCTCTCGTCACGGATCCCTCTCTCTTCGTCCCTTTGCGAAGCGGTGGGGGATGCAACGCGGAAGTGCGTTTGAAGATTCTCATTCTCTTCCTCTTGCTGGCAGGCAACGCCCCCCGTTTGACCTTGAAACCAGAGCGAACGAACGAACGAACGAACGAACGAACGAACGTGTCTGGTGATTACACACTTGCTTTTAGTTTTTTTTTTTTTTTGCAGAACCCCCCTTTGCCCCCTTTGACGTAGTCAGCAATTCTCTCTCTCTCCACCTCTCTCTATCGTGGAATAGTTTTTTGAGAGAGGTTTTTTTGGGCCACTCGGTTATCTGCAGGACCCGAGATCACTCGGTTTTGCTTATCCTCCTCGGTCAATCCTCGAGCTCTCTCTCTTTTCCTACTCTTTTCCCCGCGTGCTATATAAGCATACCGCCCCTCCCTCGTCTTCCTCTCACCTTCCTGCTTTGCGAGGAAAAGCGCCCTCTCTTTCGCTCTTGTTGGTTTTATATATACACCGCCCTTTTCACCCGACTGCTGCAGCAACACCCATAATTTGAGATTCTCTTTTCCTCCTTTTCCTCTCTTCGTCTTATAGCTGGTGATCTTTCAGAGACCCTTTAATTCTTCACGTGTCATCGCCGAGGTTGTTGGTTCAGCTAAGCCCACTCATGTCATCCGCACTCGTTCGCTTTATCTTTTGATGTGCTTGATCGAAAGATGAAGAACCAGTAGGCACCCATCTTTTGGTTTCGGCAACAATCGCCTTACCGTCCGAATAGTTTGTGGAGATAAGGTCTTTGTAGCTGTAGCTTTGTTGGGTCTGATCTTGTGAAAATGGAGAGGGTCATCAACTGGGAACAACACAACCTGATCAACGAGCTGGCCCAGGGAAAGGAGCTGGCGAAACAGCTGAGTGACCACCTCGTCAGCTCGTCGTCGTCCCGCGAGACGCGCCAGTTCTTGGTCGAGAAGATACTCTCTTGCTACCAGAAGTCGCTCGCAATGCTGAATTACGATGCTTTCATGGGGGAGCACAGGCCCACCTTCAGCATTGGGACTAGTGGCAGCCCCAACAATGAGGGGGACGTCTACAAAAAGAGGTAGCTAGATTCATCCGGACTCCATGTGTTTATGCCAACTGCTGATGGTTTAAAGCTTTAAATCTGAATCATTCGAATCGAATTGTATTGATGCGGGCCTTTCCCGAAACGCAGGAAGACTATGCCGCGGTGGACAGAGCAGGTTCGGGTCAACTCAGACACCGGACTAGAGGGGCATCCTGAAGATGGTTATAACTGGAGAAAATATGGGCAAAAGGAGATTCTTGGAGCCAATTACCCTCGGTAACTCTCCATTCCCAGTCCGTGCCTTGTTCTGCTTTCAATCAATTCTTCGTTAACTGGCGAATGATGATTTCAGAAAGAGCAGACACTATGAAGTCTCGACCTTCGCCTGTCATGAGTTAATTAGACATTAAAGTGTGAACACACGACTGAAAGAAGCATTTTTTCCACTGCCCCCATGAATTTTGAGCTCCCTATGTTGATGGCGGAGCTGAGATTCATGCACTGACACTTTCTTTTAAGCGACAACCTGTAGATTCATCTGCAGTGGGTGGCCAATTCATTTTACTCTGTTTTTCTTTTAAGTTTCTTGTCTTCTGGTTGCCACTTGCCAGCAAGTATCAGCTTCTTTGACGGCACGTGGGTCTTGCAGTTGAATCGTTTTGTAGTACCTTTCGTTATTTATTAGATCATCGGAAACGCCTGAAAAGTTGGGGGAGGGGCAATTGGCGCCTAATCCAGTAGATTCTTGTTCTAGAGAGGGTATGTTCGTTTGGGCAACATTGTCCTGAGCAAGATCTGTGCTTTTGCAGGGGATATTACAGATGCACTCACCGTAATGTCCAAGGCTGTTTGGCTACGAAGCAAGTCCAGAGATCAGACCAAGATCCAACTGTCGTCGAAGTCACATATCGGGGACGACACACTTGTATCCAAGCCCGCAATTCAGCCATTAGTCCGACCCCAATCGTTAAGGAAGAGCCTCCAAAAGAAACCACAAACCGTCAAGAAAAGCCCAAACCGTCTCTAGAGACCCTTTTAAGCTCCAAATGGGGACTCAGCGTTAAAACTGAGAACTTGGACGCGAGGCAGGATGATGTGTTCCCATCGTTTCCCTTCTCCACCACCGCAGTTGAGCCTGAGAATGGAGAGGGAGATTACTTTGCTGATGCGCTGATGGACGACAGCTTCCTGGACAAGTTCTACTTCTGCGCTCCCAACAACGCGCAGACGTCGGAGTCCGGCCTAACGGAGATAGTTTCAGCTCCGACTTCGGTCACCAATTCCCCAATGGGGGACCCAGCTTTCTCGCTAGGCAAGGTCGATTTCGACTTGGATTTTCCGTTCGACAATCCGGATTTCTTCTCATGATTCAAGAGGCTGAGCTGTGTCAGCAGGAGTAGGGGAAGATTCGGATTTCAGTTCGTGGACAATATTGAAGGAGGTGACCAACCAAATTGGTAGCAAACCAGGCCATCTAAGTATGGTCCCTCTATAATGGCCAGGAGAGTTTCTGCTTAGATTTCACCAAACAAATGTGTAATTTTTGTACCCTTTTGTTTTCTGTTTTGTTGTTTCCCCCTTTTTTTGTTCAGTTTGATTGAGCTTATTCTTAGAAAGTTAGGAGTATAACGTCATCTTCACGTGAAGATATCGAACTGCAAGATTGCAGCTTGTAAAGTGTTGAATGTTATCTTTTGCCCAAATTCAGAGAAGAAAATTTGATCCGGAGGTATATTGGCGATTGAAAGAATGTGCTCCCTTCCTGAACAAAATCAAAACATCACCTTTGTTAGTAGCAACCTAATCAAAACTGGTTTGAGCTAGCTTCGTGTTAAAGTTGTAGGATCTTCAAGATTCAGGAAAGGAAGCTTTACGGGAGAAAGGGGAAACTGCAGTGCGAGATTAGGTATCCAAGAAGAAAAGAAAAAATACTCAAAAGTTTACATTTTTATTCAATAAAATGATTTTGTGTCAATGTGTTACCACATAGGGGTATCTGAAAAATCTGATCTAGCTATTTTTAATCAAACAAAGAAGCTAGCTATCTTAGAAAAAAAACTGAATATGAAATAATATCATCAACAACATTTTTAAATAGGGAATTTTCTAGTAATATTTGGATATTTTGATCTAGCCAAAAAGTGGGGCGCTAAATAAAAGGAAATGTCGACCCGGTCAGCAATGAAGACAGTGGGCGCTCGTTTATTAGAAGAGATCGAGAGACGCACGTGAGAAAAGGGAAAAGAAAGAGAAAAGAAGAACAAAGAAAGGAAAACAGAGAAAAGGGAAAGAAAGGAAAGGGGTTTTGTGTGTACATGCTACGGACAAATCTCCGAACTAGATTTATTACGTATGCAACGCCTGGTAAGTTTTGTGAAATTTGAGCCGTGCAGTCCGATTTTTAAGTTATTAAGCTTTGAAATTACATGAAAATGGTGAATTATAGTGTTGTAGAGCCGTGAGTTTGACGGGAGTCAATTTGGAGCAATGGTTTAGTTGGAGTGAGAATTTTTGAGTTTTCCCGTGTGAGTTTGGTATTGCGTTTAGGATTGAATAATCGTTTTAAGTGAGCGATTTGTTGTCGTGTAAGAGTTGTTTTGCTCTCAATTAAGTTTTGTATAGTCGTTTCTTAGTCGAGGTAGTGCTTTACTTGATTTTAACGTTGATTCTCGTTTTTTTTTTGTCGAATTTTTTTTTAATTGGTAGGATTATGAAATCGTTGGTTCGAGTGAGCTTTGTTGTTTGGTTTTTTGGGCAATCCTAGGTAAGTGGTGTTATTTTTTCTTCGAGTTTGTAAATTCATATTTCGAAAGCAGCATTGATTATATATAGCATGAATTACGAAATACTGTTGCATAAAAAGTTGGATCGAGTATTTACTATTCCTTGGTTATTTACGAATGTTTTAGAAAACATGCAAGATATTGTGAATATAATATATATAGAGTAATTCTATATCACAAGCGTCCTCAGATCAAGGATCCATGAATAGAGAAGAAATCAGTATAAAAGATTTTAATAAATCCATAGAAAATTGGATTATTCAAAAGGTTAAGAAAAGATTAAGCAAAGATTAAGATAATCACTGACATTTAAACCACCTCTTTCATATGAAGCCAAAATCTCAAACCTAATGCTCTTTTTCATATATTTTGGAGTATCATGGGTAACGGCTTGGAGTTTTGATTACAAAAAAAATCATAGAATCGGATGCCCTTATCTTAATCAGAAGATTCAAGATTAAGTGGTGGGATGGTTTTAAATTTTTCAATAGGGTTGATGAGCAATCAGTAACATAATGGTTGAGCAAGAGAAACCCTTGCCATATCAGCCCAGATAATGTCACTCATTTTCTCCATGACAAAGGATTTGTTTTATCGAAGTTAGCATTTCCACAATCCTAGCAACAACTAATGGGATTTTTGAAACAAGCTATGGTTGAATTGGAAGAATCAAGTTCCTCTCACTCACATAAGAGTGGGAACACAAATGAGGATGATTGCTACGGTATACACATTGGTGATGATGAGGATGAAGACTAAAATATAAAGGCGGGATGACCATTGTCAAAGTTTTCATAATTCCATAATGAGAGAAGAGACTAATAGCATTTGTCTTTTTCTTTCTGATATATGTCTTTTCACTGTAACACTATGCACCTTTTTCTGTTCATACTAGTGACTTTTACTGAAAGATACAGTAACATCACGTGAACGTGAAATAATTCGATACCTTTTGAAGGTTCTCTCAACCTATAAAAGCAATCATTTTCTAACCAAATAGGCAGGTTTTTTCCGAAATAAGAACCCTCTTCTTTCAAAAATCACAGAAGACAGAGAAGCCTCTCAATCCCTCTCCTATCTCTTCTGAAACCAGAGAATCCTCTCTCTCTCTCTCTCTCTCTCTCTCTCTCTCTCTATATATATATATATATATATATATATATATATATATATTACTTTGGAAACTGGTTTATGAAAGAATTTCTGAATGATGTGATAAATATTTTGAGAAATGTATTGCTAGCGGATAAGATGTGTTGTGAAAGGATTATCCATTTCGGTTTAGAAAATGTATTATGGTTTATGAGATTGATTTTGGATTAGATTTATGATATCGGAGGATGATTGTTTGATCCTCAATGTGACTGTGAATCCGATAGGGGTTTCTGGGTATTCATATCGGTTTTTGGATATCCTTCTAGGCCGAGCCATTGGCTGATAATAGGTGAAGACTTTATCAAGGGGGAATCTTGGTCACCTTTTCACCAAGAGTTGTGCCCGACCATGACATTATATTTAACAATAGATTTGTCGATAAATGGACAATTGACGTGTTATTTGAAATTGGTCAATGGAATGGACCGCTGACATGGTTTTCGATAAAAATTGATCAATGGACTTGACCGTTGATGTTTGAATTGTGATGATGGATTAAATGAGTATTTTTTATTTTTATAATATTTTGTTGAAATGAAATAACTCATATTTGAGAGTTTGGATTATGAGTTTCCGGTATTACTTTATACATACACACACATATATATAATGGCTGCTTGATATGCTTAGAAGATGTATTACTCATTGGTATGTAATTGCTCATTCCAATCATCTTTTATGTTTTTTAGGTTCCTCGGGTAATGGCCAGTAGTACAAGAGCGCTATCGCGAGGACTTTTAGGGAGTTGGATTTTTGGGTATGTTTTAAGGGAGTTGTATTTGGTTGTTGATAGTTGTTGGGTTGGTTGAGTTCTAAGTTGTGTTTGAGGTTGCATCTTTCGGGTGGAAGAATGGCTGTGTCATTCTCCTGTTCTTATGGATTTGGAGTATCACATTTCTAATATCCATAAATATACACTCTCCCAAGTTGGAGGATCCAGCTTGCATACGACAGTGTAACTTTCTTCTAAAGCCTACGGCCAAAGGGTCGTGTAAGCCTATAGATTGAAGCACTGCCAGCACCCCCGAAAGCCTTTTTTTTTTTTCATTCTTTAGAAATTGAAAAGAAGGAAAACAAAAAATAGAAAAAGTAAGGTTAAAACCAACAATCTGACGAGGGTAGTAGCTTGATTTTAATAGAGAAGCAGAACCAATGACCATAATTGAGAAGGATGCACGATGAAATTAGGCTAGAGAATAGAGAAGATCGACTTGTGGTAGACTCCACCAGTCCAACGATGCCGGCGTCAAGACTGAGATGCCGTAGAAGACGACAACTCCCCATGATGACAACGACAAAGAGACCGGGGATTCATGAGACAGAGCTGCTCTCAGAGACAACCGGAGTAAACTTGAACCGCGACAAGCAGAGGATGAGGATGCTACTCTTGAAGACGACGGTTTGTGGATGCTCTCAAGGATAAAGATTAGTGGATGAAAAACAAAGGACTTGGAACGACGAGGAATGGTGGTGATCCTAGTGTTAGAGTAGAAACAATGATGGCAAGAAAGAAGAGAAAAGCTATAATTTTGATTTGGGTCGCTCTCTTTTGTGGACTCTAATACCATGTAACTAAAGGGATGTGAGAGAAAATACTCAAAACTACATCTTTACTCAATAATATGACTTTATAATATGTTATAATCAATGGTATTTATATTTGAACAATATATACAAGCAAGGAAGTAATCTAGTATAACAAGGAAATTAGCTATCTTAATCTAAAACGGGAAACTAGCTATCTTAAGAAATAACTAATTATTAAATGGTATCTCTAATATCTAATAATATTTCTAATATTATTTTCTAACAGGGAATTCTCTAATATCCATAAATATATAGCAACACTTCAGACCCAAGGTTATTGAAGGTCGATTCACGTAACCTTTTCATCACCTTTTCATGAGATATCGAATTTTTAGTAACACCAAGGGTGCATTTGTTTTGCGAAAAATGAGCGATTTAGAAAATATTTTCCGAAAATCGATCGCTTGCACCACTAACAAAAACAAATTAATGTACAATATTTTCATCGTCAACGATAATAATTAGACATAAATTATTGTCGATAAAAAAATGTTTTCAATTGACTAATTACTTCAAACGATACAAACGATTACTTTTAGGAAAATATTTTTTAAATAATTTATTTTTTCGTGAAACAAACGAAAGCTCGGTTTGAAGCCAAATTTCAAGTATTGGAGTTTATTTCCCCAGCCATCCGAGCACAATTAATGCTATCCTCTAATATCATCTTGAGATCATACTTGTACTTGAACCCCATTTCCTCGAGCTTCGAGGATCCCCAAGCAATCTCTCTTCCCGTGTCTTCGATGAACCTGAAGCACATCATCATCAGAAGAATTTAGTCAGCTTCTTGAGGAATCAATTTGTCAGGAATTCGATTCTTGTAAGATTGATTCTTGTCCTGCAATATTCTAGCCAAGAAAGCTAAAGAAAATGTTATTTCTGGCTTACTCTTCAGGAATCTGGATTTCTGGGAAGCTTTTCTTGATATGGTGGGCAATATCTGCGGTCTTCACATAGTCACTGGCGCATAAGAACCTGCCACTGATAGAACGCTGCTTCGATATGCAGAAGATGTGCGCCTCGCACGCATCTTCAATGTGCACCACGGGGACTTTGCCCGTCACTTCCTCCAAAATCCTCAGCACCCTGTACCATGTTCCGTCATTTGTCGCTTGTGCAATGAGCACTCTTAAGCTATCGGGCAAGGCAGACCGAATTGTGCTCCCTCCCACCAAGCCTAAAGCAATGCTCACTATCTCAATGACTCCATCGTACCTCAGCAATTCCCTCTCTGATTGCGTCTTCGATTTAACATAGTCCTCCTATAGGAATTAAAGTAACTAATTACTCAGTGAAAAACATCGTTCTGTCCTACCAATGGAGTGCGGAAACCGGTGGCTAATACCACAAATTGGTCACTGCTGTGAGGATCTGAAAGATTGAGGGGTGTCCAGCAGGATTCATCCATTGCCTCAGCGAAGCATTTTGCGTCGTCTTTCATCGGTGAAGCGGCCATAACAGTAGCAGTGTAAATGAGCCGCCTCACGGTCCCCGATCTGATGCAGGACTCCGCAATGCTCTTTACTCCAGCAACGGCTGCCTCGGATGTATCTTTGAACTGAATTGAAGTGGGTTGATGGCTCGGTAAAATCAGAAGACATGTCACATTGACCCTGAAGTCTTCACTTAGACAATTACAAGTGTCTATTTGAACAGGTCTTTGATTCGATAGCGCCAAATTTCCACAATGTTCTACAGTGGAAACTAGAGAAAGATCTAATCATTCCTAGCTCAACTAGCAACTTCTGTCTTGAGAAATCTCTTAAAAGCATAAATTACTTATCCTGATGCTTTCTTCTGTAAGGTTCATGTTTTCTTGTTTTGTTTTTACCCTCGTTAAACCCGACAAAGTGAATATCCTGTGAAGAAGCTGCCCCTACACTAAAGAACTCTATACGCCTAGCAAGAAACAAAATTGGAATTAATAAGTAGAGAGACTTCAGACCTTAGAGCTGCTGGGGTCATGGTGCAATGGGGTGGCCACATGAAAAACATATTGACACCCTCGAATTGCTTTCTCAAAATCATGGGGATTGTACAGATCTGCTTCAAATAACACCAACCCCGTCTCTGCATTAGGAAAACTCTTGAGGAACCCCACTTTTCTCTCATCACCTGCACTCACCCGCATTTCCAACAAAACCACCCTTGTTCAACACACACAAGTAATGCGCAGAGAAAGAATCAAAATGAAAGTAAATCAGAATTTTACCTGAGTTTCTAACAGTGGCATGGACTGTGTAGCCTCTCTCCAACAGCCTCTTGACAATCCAAGAACCTATGTAACCAGAACCTCCCGTGACACATACCCTTGTTGTCTCCTCCATAGACGCACTCATCACGAACACTTCTGCTGGCACCTCTCGCGCTAGGTGAATGTGAGTAATTCTATACTTCTTCAAAACTTTGCCGTTCCGGGGTGATCATGGAGAAACATGTATGGTGGACGCTCACTTACCTATCTCTTTCGGAAGTCGTGCTGGTTCCAAAACACCTTATCTAGAAGACTAGATGTTGGAGATAAACGTGGCCCATAATTGATTTGATGGAGATACTTTTGGCTCTAATTGATATCATATAGTTGATGTGATTCCCTTTAATTGATACTGTATATTTGGGAATCATTTTTTCCTCTTTTTTGTATATTCTTGCCCAGATTATTCAGGCTCTGTGTACTATAAATAGGATTGTACATCATACAATTATCTACTTCAATCCTCCTCTATCAAGCTTTCCATTGTTTCATTTTGTGACATGGTATCAGAGCATAGGCTCTAAACCAGCTTCCGCACAACCATTCTTTATCCTGCAAGAAAAATGGTCAGAAATTAGAACACGAATTCTGGCACATCACATAATCCTTCCAATAATCCAACTTCGGATCCACGCATTGATGCATCCAGCTTAACCGAAGAAAAATCAAACAGACGAAGGGCAACAGAGACAGCCGGATCATGTGCAGCAAAGACCAGATCCAACTCAAGCACAATTGGGACAGTATCCGACCCAGGCCCATTCAGGGCAATTTTTCCCAAACCCATTCGTTCAATGGGTTCCCGTCCAGATTCAACCCATGCAGGGACAGACGAATCCATCAGAGCCCAATTCAAGCAGGCTCTGTGGAGAATAGTGGACCAGGAGGAGGCCCACATCTCGTTACTGAACCCAACCCGACACCTGCACCGGGTTGGCAATTTCTGAACCAAATCGGTTCACGTCCGCCGGGTTTTGGGGCAAATCCGGCTTCAGTTTACAGCCCCGATTTTTTTTTCCTCTTGCAGGCACAGCCAGCGGCCGGCTGGAACCAGGGACCCTCTATACACCTCCACTGCCGATGGACCAGAACTCCAACTCATTACTTTACAACTCTCGGGACCGGAGAACTACTCCGTTTGGTCCCGAGAACTACGCCGAGCGCTTGTCACAAAGGACAAGGATGGCTTCATCAACGAAACTATACCGTTGCCGTCCGACGAGCCGCTTGCACGACACTGGAGGAAGTGCAACCAGCTCGTCCGGACATGGATTGGAAATTGTCTTAGCTCGGAAGTAGCTGCCGGACTCCCTCCAACCGAAGGCGCAAGAAAAATATGGGAGAATATTCAGGAAATGTAGGGTTAGCTCGATAGGGCCAAAATTTTTGGCCTAACTCAGGCTCTATCGGAGCTAAAACAGGGCAACCTTTCGGTCACCGCTGTTTTTAGCCGGCTATTGGCGCTTTGGAACGAATTGGAGGCGGCCGAAGAAAAGCTTGAAGGCCCCGAAGCTACTCTAGCGCAATTTCGAGCGATTAAAGAACGGGAAAAGGTAACGAGGTTCTTGTTAATCTTAAACGAAACCTACTTACCCTTTCGAAGCTAGATTCTCGCCATGGATCCGGTTCCTCCACTTGGGCGTATTTACCAGCTCGCCGCACAAGAAGAATCGCAGCGGCTCACTTCGGTGGAGTACCTGAAGGCCGGCCACCGCATCATCCTCGCAGCGAAAGCGATGCCGGAACAGCGAAGCGCCGCGGGAAAGTCCGCCCTTTGGAGCTCCACTCACTCGGGCACGGCGCTAGGGTTCCCGAGCGAGGAAGATGATTGGGGTTCTATTCGAATCGACGGCCACGATTTAATCGTGGCGCCCCAATTTGACGGTCCTGGGTGCATGCGGTCTTCAACCCAGATTAGTGACTAAGGTGTCACTTCCATTGGGAAGTTGAACCGAAGTACTGTGAGTGAATTTACAAATATGAGAAAGGAAACATTCATCACAGACAATGTAGTCACTAGCACCTGAATCAATAATCCATGCCTTAGTTGAAATGGAGCTCATTAGGCAATAGGATATATCTGTATAGCGGGCCGATTTGTCTTGTGTCCCCAGCTGATTTAAAGCTCGCATTATTTGTTGGAATTGATCCTGGTTGCTGGGCTGATTGATTTTAGCATTTGCCGTGACTAAAAGATATTGTTCCTTCCTTTCCTTATCTGCCGGCCTCCCATTTAATTTCCAACAATTTTCCCTAGTGTGATAAGGGCGCTTACAATAATTGCAAAATTTACCTTAGCCTTTGTTGGAATTTTGCCCATTTAATTTGGACGACGTGGCTGAATCTCTGCCATTGGACGACTTCCATGTGGGGGCGTGGCAACGTCCAACTCAATCCATCAATCTCACTGAAAAATGTCCTTCTCATCCCTGAGTTCCAATTCAATCTCATCTCCATTTCCAAACTCTGAGGGACAATTTCTGTCGAATTCTTTTTTATTCTGATCTATGTTTCTTTCGGGACTTTTCGACTGGAAAACAAATGGGCTTGGGTAAAAATCACGATGGGCTTTATTTTTGGGTCACACTACCCAAATATATTGATTTTCCCTTGAATAAAGGCACCTCATGTAATGCCAATCTAAATAATAATGTTTTATCTCATCAACGATTGGGTCACAGTGTCTGTTTTCCTCATCCTAAGTGTTCTATTTGTCCTTTGGCCAAACAATCACGACTGCCTTTCCCTCAAAGTATGTCACGTGCGAATGATTCTTTTACACTCTTACATATGGATATTTGGGGACCATATCACACACCACATCGTGATGGGTCTCGATTTTTTCTTACAATCGTGGATGATTATACGCGTGCAACTTGGGTCTTCTTGATGCAATCTAAAGCCCAAGTTCTTTCCTATTTTATGAATTTTCTTACCCTGATTAAAAATCAGTTCAATAAATCCGTTCGACGAATTCGCACTGATAATGCTCGTGAATTCTTTAACCACGAATGTTCCTCATTATTCACCTCGAATGGCATCCTTCGTGAAAGTTCTTGTGTCTACACTCCTCAACAAAATGGGATTATCGAAAGGAAACTTCATCATCTCTTAAAGGTTGCTCGTGCTCTAAAATACCAAGCCTCCATTCCTGAGACGTTTTGGGGGAGACTGTGTGGTCACGGCAGCCTACTTAATAAATTGAATGCCTACTCGAATCTTGAATGGACGAACCCCTTTCGAGCTACTTTTTGGCAAAAGACCCAATATTCGGCACCTTCGCGTTTTCGGATGTCTATGTTATGTATCTACTATGGGCCCTCAGGATAAATTGGGTCCTCGTGCCCTCAAATGCATATTTATGGGATACCCCACTCTTCAAAGGGATATTTGGTTCTAGATCCATCAACTGGGCGTTTCTTTGTTAGTAGGGATGTTGTTTTTCATGAAGATGTTTTCCCTTTCCAAGATAATGCATCTCTAGAGGATCAGGTGGAAGAAGTCACCCATCGTCGTCCATTCTTAAGTGAGGAAGATTTATTGCCTCCACAGCTGGTGATTGTTCCTCATGTCGCCCCTCCTACGTCTAATAATCATCTCCCTTCACGACTGGAGATAAATAAAGAGACGTTGACATTATTTTTGGAGGACTCTATGGTTTCTTCTCCAAGTTCACTGGATCATACTTCTCATGAGCCAGTTGATATCGATCAGACTAATTTGGGTCCTCCTCGATGCTCAGGGCGTGCAATACAACCACCCACATGGACGAAAGACTACATTTGTTCTACCTCCAACTCATCTGGTACACACTATCCCATCTCTTCTTATGTTAGCTTTGCTCGTCTATCACCGGAACATATGTGCTGCATTAATAAAATATCTTAGGAACATGAACCATCCTCATACATTGATGCAGTAAAAGATCCCCACTGGCAACAAGCCATGGCGGATGAATTACAAGCACTAACAGATAATAAGACTTGGGATCTCATTCCTTTACCACTACATTGGCAACCCATTGGATGTAAGTGGGTGTATAAAATCAAATATAAAGCAGACGGTTCCATTGAATGTTATAAGGAAAGACTCATATCCAAGGGTTTCACGCAGTAGGAAGGTTTTGACTATCAGGAGACCTTTTCTCCAATAGCGAAAGAAGTTACGGTTCGTTCATTTCTCTCTGTTGTTGCTCTCCGTGATTGGTCCTTGCATCAGATGGATGTTCACAATGCATTTCTCCACGGGAATTTGGAAGAAGAGATTTATAGGGATCTTCCACCAGGTTTACGCAACCAGGGGGAGAATCGAGTATGTTGTTTGCGCAAATCCTTATATGGACTCAAACAGGCTTCTCGTCAATGGTATGCTAAATTTACCGCTGCACTCACAATGGCAGATTTCAAGCAATCAAGACATGACTATGCCCTATTCACATGGAACCAAGGTACATCGTCCATTTATTTACTGATATATGTTGATGATATACTTATCATGGAGAATGATGAATCTGCCAACATGGAATTCAAAAAATATCTGCACTCCACTTTTCACATTAAGGATTTGGGACCACCCAAATATTTTCTCGGGATAGAAATTGTGCGATTAGAGAAAGGAATTTGTCTTAGTCAGCGCAAATTTGTGCTGGAAATCATATCAGAGGTAGGACTATCAAGTTCTAAACCAGCAGTCATCCCAATTGAGCAGAATGCTAAGTTGACGACTTTCGAATATGACAAAGGATTGTCATCGATTAATGAGGATCATTTACTCAAGGACCCCTCCACATATCAGCGACTCGTTGGAAACTCATCTACCTCACCATGACTAGACTCGACATATGCTACGCTGTATAAATTCTTAATCAATTCATGCATGGCCCAAAGCAATCTCACATGAATGCGGCATTGAAAGTAGTAAAATACTTGAGACGATGTCCGGGATTGGGAATTCTACTATCTCAAGATAACAACGTGGAGATGATGGCATATTGTGACACAGATTATGCCACTTGACCGATGAGTAGAAAATCCGTTACAAGATTTTGCATCAAATTGGGAAATTCCCTGCTATCATGGAAAACAATGAAACAATCGACTATTTCCTTATCATCTGCAGAAGCTGAATATCATACAATGGCAAAGACCAGCTGTGAAAATGTCTAGATAAGAAGATTGCTTCGGGATCTCGGTATATGGATCAAGCAACCAACGATTCTGTTTTGTGACAACGATGCTACACTTAAACTCGCAATAAATCCAGTCTTTCATGAAAGAACTAAGCACATAGAAGTCGATTGTCATTTCATCAGAGACAAAATCCAGGATGGCATGATCAAAACAGAGGGAATAAGGATAACAGAACAACCTGCAGACATCTTCACCAAACCCTTGTGTCAAAGGCAACATGCATTTCTACTGAGCAAACTAGGCGTTCTTGATGTTGGAGGGGGAGTGTTGGAGATACCGTTGCCCATAATTGATTTGATGGAGATACTTTTGGCTCTAATTGATATCATATATTTGATGTGATTCCCTTTAATTGATACTGCATATTTGGGAATCATTTTTTCCTCTTTTTTGTATATTCTTGCCCAGATTATTCAGGCTCTATGTACTATAAATAGGATTGTACATCATAATTTTTTCTATGAGAAAGCAATACAATTATCTACTTCAATCCTCCTCCATCAAACTTTCTATTGTTTCATTTTGTGATACTAGAGAAACAATTGCGCAGGCTTTGCTGGCAAAAGCCCACCTCTTGAGTGGACTTCGTACTTGCTACATGTTGAGTTTATTGAAGCCTGAGGCCGAGTTTATAACGTAAGATCGCCTCACATCACAGCCTGCAATTACACGATCAAGTCTAATCAACCCAACATAATTAAAGCATGAGATATCCAACCTTCTGCTCGATTAACTCCCCCTGATGTACGCTCATCAGGCTCGATTGGATGAGTTATCCATTTGCTTGAGTTTGACTTGTGATCATCATCAGAGCTGGTTGAATATCAAACACAAGATTGGAAGTATATGTTAAAACATGTCTCGAGTTTGAATCCGTGCATGAAATTCTGTCGGAATCAAAATGCGAAAAAGTTGGCCGTATAAAGAAAGTCCGAGTTGGACTTTGTGAACTCCTTGGAGTCCCGAATCCTTTGCATGTTGGAGTCTAAACTGGTGTTGGACTATGTGCGTGAGGAGATGACTTAAACTAGGAAATTTGGGTTTCACTTTAACCAAGGGTTTTGCATGTTTCATGTATGAATAGTTCTTGTTCGTCAGACGGTGAATGTTGCTGAGTGGATCTTCGTGCCTTGTGTGTGCAGAAGCCGTGAATTTCCAAGTGGAGAATACCTTCAGGGATTGCATCCGGGAGGAATTTCGGAATGTTTTCAGCCGCCAAGGGATTCTGTGTAATGTTTTCAGCCGCCGAGGGATTCTTGTGCAAAGGATTTTGTGTACTTCTCTGCGAGATTGAGTGATTTTGCAAAGGATTCTGTCTAATCATTGTAATGTTAAAATTCGCTGCACAATCACAAAGAAAATAAAGAGTAAAAACAAGAAAGAGAATTTGGGATGCAAGTTTTTATTTTGGTTCTCCCTTAAACTAGGACTACGTTTAGCTGAGAATTCCATTATAATTAGCACCTCGCACTTCTTTGTTATATCTCTAATTATAAGAGAAAGAGAATATCTATAGGCA